ATATCATGGATGTATATATCAAGCGGAAATATCCACTATCTGAAAGGTTCTTCAAAATGAGCCTCATTCAAAGCACTCCTCCAGGGAATGTAGATAGATTATTTATTTGTTTTGTATCAGTTGTAATGTAATCCCAGTTAAGATTTCAGTTAATGTAAAGAGATACTTCAAATCTAAGTCAATTATGTGATGCTGAACGAATTTCTTCACTTCCTAAAAGCGCAATGATTATTTTTTAACAGGGTGAATTGGTGTTTTCCTGAATTATGAAAATGCAAAATTTTACATGGATACCTGCCGTGAAGGCTCGATACCACGGTGTGCTTCATATAGGCATCGGTGGCTAATGAACGCCTCATTGGAACTCCAAGGAATTCTGGCGATACCAACTGAAGTTTTATGTTTGGACACAACTTCCCCCTTAGTGAGGAGCGAAGCCTATCTAATACCTCTGCTGATCTTTAAGTCACAGCACCCGGTTGGAAAATGCGACTTCATATCAATCAATGTAAGTTTGACTTTTAACCACAACCACCACGACATTCCCTTTAAGGAACCAACCTCAACCATCCTCAGCAAAGCAGAAGCTTTAGGCCCTGACCCCCATGGACTTTCCTGAGTCAATGTTTAATTTTCACCAACTTCAAGCTTCACTAAAGCGAAGTTTACACCATCAGCCGACGATTTTGGACGACCTTCGGGATTTTCACCCTTCAAAGAAAAGAGACCGGTCTGAAAGTTACTTTGATACCCGCAGAAGCGACGGTACATTCTGACCATATACTATTTGGCACTCATTAAATATTTGTATATATTTTAGATTATCCCAAAATCCGTAAAGAATGATAAACTGAATCTCTTGCTGTGACCATGGTGGAATTTGTCCAGACTCATTGTCAGTCAGTTTTTATTTTTTTTATTTTCATTTTGACTGCTTGGTGTGAAACATCATAAGAAATATCGCAATTCTATGCCAAGTCAGCTGGAATTTATTGTTTCTGCATTGCAAATTGGATGCATTTTTGTAAGTTCTTTCATAAAATCTACTTTTACAGCAAATCTATATACATTCATAGAACTCTCCTTCAGCAGGGTGACTTGGAGAACATGCTTTTTCTTAGTTTAACGAACTTCTAACTTGATCCATTGAAACCATATAGAAGAAAATGGATAAATGCGATTTATTTATTTATTATTATTTATTTATTATTATTTATTTATTTATAAAATTATAAATATTATTTTTTATTCTTTTCTTTGATGCCATATTGTATTTTTATTCCTTGTAGGTCTTATATATTAACATATATCATTTTTTTTATAATTATTTGTGAATAAGTCTTTTTATTCTTTGTAGAACTTATTTTTTAAGATATATAATTTTTTTTTATAATTTTTTGTGAATTAATTATTTATGGCATACTAATAGGCAGTCAACATTTTCTACCTCAGGCTTCCTATACGTTTAGTCGGGAGGTAAAGGTCACTTTTTGATTTCTTTTTGTAGAAAATGAAATTTTTGTCGTATTAGACACTTTATAATATAGTGGCTGTAAATATAGTGATGTACCTACTAAATAAGCAATGGGGCCTTATAAAAACATGTCCATTTTCTGGGCAGTTAGTTCTATATATATATTTATTTATATTTTTATATTTATTCATTAAAAAAATATATATTTAAAACAGTATACAGTATCTTCGATTCTGGTTAGATTAGGTTAAATTGTTGCTACTACAGGTTTGTAATAATTGATTAACCCAAATTTCGAAAATATAGTCATCATAAATATTTTCTAAAAATTAAAAAAGTAAATGGCATATGTACTTAGAATAGAAAGTTTTTATAGATTTAAAAATGCATTCTTTATATTATTCACATATAGTATTAGTCAGATTCTGCTGAAAGGTTTACTATCATATTGTTCAGTTTAGGAACTCGTCTGTAAAATTGTTTGTTTATCAGTCGCTATTGCTTTCTATACATTTTTATCCAAATACTTTCACTTTGTAGTGGAAAGTACCAGGCTGAAAAGTATTGATTGTATAATACGGTATATGTATATGTGTATTTTTCAAATCAACTTTATACCAAATAACATTTGCCTGTCCCTGAATTTTCAAACTATTAAGTTATCACAGCAAGTGTAAATAGCTAAACACTTTTAAGATTACACAGATGGTTTACAAATCTATTTTGATTTGATTTTTCAATGTTATATTAAATTTTTTTATCACATTAATTTCACTTCATTTGAATTTAAGAAAAAGACTAAATTTTTAAAAAATATTAAATCTTTTCATTTTATTTTTTTTTCTTTTCAATTAATGAGTAACAAAAATTATTTAAGCAACTGGTAAATGAGCACCGGAGGGTTGGAAACCGTTTTCATCAGCAACATAGTTGACTGTGTATTTCTGACCATCCTTATCAACCCAGGAGAATGATCCATGAACAACAATAGCTTCGTGTTCAGTGCCAACATCCTTCAATTTACCATCTTCAACACGGGATGTACCATCACTGGTCTCAACACTGTAAGCAAACAATAGAAAATTAATCCATTCTATGAAGTATCCTTTTTAAGTAACTTTTTCTTCTGTAAAACTTACGCGAAGTTGTAGGATTCTGGTTGCACATCAGATTCCAACTTCAAGATTTCAACATCACCTGGGCGAGCCATGGCTACAGCGAAGAGGGCGGCTAAAACAATGACGAATTTCATTTTGTTGGATTTGTGTTGTTCCTTTGAAAGTTCAATACTTAATGGATGCTTCTGCAATGCATGTGCTTCCGTTTTATACTAAAACTGAAATTAAAATTTCTACAGAAACGAGTACATAAATAAAAAACGGACTGAAACGAAAGTTCAATGTGTGTCTTAAAGAAACCTATTTCATGTTCCAAAACTGGATTTTTTTCTATTTCTTAAACCAAAAATTTGGATTTCTAGACCGTTTTAAATTATTTTTTAAAATAATTTTTAATTTTATTGTTATTTTGCTCGCCTTGCAATTTTATATGTTCTTGCATGTTAAATGTTTTTGTTCCATATAAAATGTAGATTAACTGGTTGTATAAGATGTTCTCTAGTATTTTAAAATTTTAATTTAAATGATGCAACTTCATTAATTTTGCAGTTGTACATTTAATTAAATAGCTCATTTAAAAAGCAGAAATGAAACAAAAAAATTTTGATGAAATATATACAATAAAACTTTATTTAAATCTTTAAGACTATATGAGGTCAATGCATGATTTTCGTATATGTGAATATATACTTAATATAAGAAATAAAAGAAATGTTTCACGGTTTTCTTCCATTTCTAAAGATTATCAGCTAGTAGTTAGCTATCAAAAGAATATATCACATTAGTAAGCTTCAGAGAAGTATACCGTCTACATGTAACAATTAAAAGGTGGAGAAATTTGAACATACAGCTTAAAAACTTTCATTATACATTTAAAACTTAAGGATTGTCTTGTAAATTTACTGGGGAATAATCACGCCTATCGTAATTCTTACTTATCTGCTTTCATAAAGCAATTTACAAAAAAGTAATCTGTCTTTCATCTGCATTGAAATCATCATCAAAAATCACATGTTTTTTAAGAATAACATTCCCTTCAGGAATGTTGACAAGTTCTGATGTGTTTAAAAGTAACAAAAAATAATCAAGATTATTGACCAAAATACAAATATACCGATTGCGCTGGATACTTACACTACTTTCGTTTACACCATTGAGATTTGCGTTCAATTATAACTTTTCAAAATTTTAAATGGCGCCTAAATCGGAATGTATACAGATAATTAAGCAGCAAACCAGACTCTTCCTTTCATAAAATTCTCTCTGGCACTATTGACAGATTATTTTGATATGCTTTAGCTACCAACAAACCGAAACCAAGTGGGGCTTTGTTGGGTACTTGATGACGCAGAAATTACTCTTAACGAATGTGCTATTGCGAGCTCAAGATTGCATAGGCTGAAAATTTATAGTTAAGGCACATTTTTCGCTTAATGAATATGTCAATAAATAATAGTAATAGTAATAAAAGTAATAAATAATAGTAATAGTGTTGCAACTGGGGCAGAGAAAAACTATAAGTAACTATTGAGAAACCATTGCACCCAGAAAAAGTTGGTGCGACTAATTAATCGATTAGTCTTAAAATGAGATAGGCGATGTGTTTTTTTCAAAATGATGAAGGTGCTATCAATTTTGAATCTTAAACCCACATGATTATCAATTTTTTATAACGCGGGATTGAATATATGGCTATGGAAGATGTGTTTCCAACAGGACTGTACGACACAAAATAATCTACATAAGTTCTGAAATTGTTATTAATTCACTTTTAAGATCATAAGATCTTGGCTCCACTGGATCTTTTTTATAGGATTATGAAAAGAATTTTATTTGTGGGGGGATTTCTCAAGTTAGAACTCTTCGAAGTTTTTGATGATAATGCGTTAAATATTGTAAGATATCTCGTAGTGAAAATTTGAAGGAAGTTGTATTTCACATACACAAACTGAAGTAAAGAATTAATCGAAATCTTAATCACAAGTGCGTATTATTTACATTTACTTTTGGAGCTGTAGTTGTGGAAGTTGAAAATGTTGCTTGAGAGAGATTGAAGGATTAATCTACATCTTATCTTTTCAATACTTTATGTAATATTATTTATATATGTAAATATTTATGATAATATTTTGGTTCATTTTACTTTACACTATATTTTTTTTAAAATTTTTTCTTCGACTTTAAGGCAAATTGTTAAACCGAAAAGGAGTTGCACTGAATTACCAATAAAAGTTTACATTAACGATGACCTAAGACGAGGGGCGCTCTGTTAGTTTACATTATAAGTTTCAAATAATAGAACTGTTCATTTTTTGGCACAAAGTAACAACGGATTTGAGTTTTCTAAGATTGCAAATGTTTTTAATAGATAAACATATTTACTAACTATTAATATATATAATAAACAGCTCTTGGTATTTTCGTTTTTTCGATTTTAGTGTTAATTTCCAATTGGTACATTGGGTAAATGTGCACCTTCAGGCTGGAATCCATTTTCATCTGCAACATAGTTAACTGTGTAGGTTTTACCATCATCAGCTACGAAAGAATAGGAGCCACGTACAACAATGGCGTCATCCTCAGGTCCAAGATTTTTTAATTCTCCTTGCTCTTCATGTTTGTTACCGTCACTGGTTTCC